GCAGGTAACCATGGTTAACAGAGGAAGAACAATGATTTCAAGCACCACCCTCCTTTTAAAGCTTCCAGTCTGTTATTCTAACTCAATCAGCATGACAGAGTGATCTCCAGCCTTGTCCTCGTCAACACTCTCACCTGTGTTAACGAGAGAATCACTGACATGATGTCAGTTGGTCCTTTTGTGGCAGGGCTGAAATGCAGTGGAAATGTTTTTTTGGGAGTAAGTTCATTTTCATGGCAAAGAGGGACTTTGCAATGAATTGCAATTCATCTGATCACTCTTCATGACATTCTGGAGTATATGCAAATTGCCATCATCAAAACTGAGGCAGCAGACTTTGTGAAAATTAGTATTTGTGTCATTCTCAAAACTTTTGACACGACTGTACACTACCATTCAAAAGTTTGGGGTCACTTAGAAATGTCCTTGTTTTTGAAAGAAAAGCTTTTTTTTTGTCCATTAAAATAACATCAAATTAATCAGAAATACAGTGTAGACATTGTTAATGTTGTAAATGGCTATTGTAGCTGGAAACGGCTCATTTTTTTATGGAATATCTACAGAGGCCCATTATCAGCAACCATCAGTCATGTGTTCCAATGGCACGTTGTGTTTGCTAATCCAAGTTTATCATTTTAAAAGGCTATTTGATCATTAGAAAACCCTTTTGCAATTATGTTAGCACAGCTGAAAACTGTTGTTCTGATTAAAGAAGCAATAAAACTGGCCTTCTTGATACTAGTTGAGTATCTGGAGCATCAGCAATTGTGGGTTCGATTACAGGCTCAAAATGGCCAGAAACAAATAACTTTATTCTGAAACTTGTCAGTCTATTCTTGTTCTGAGTAATGAAGGCTATTCCATGCGAGAAATTGCCAATAAACTGAAGATCTCGTACAACGCTGTGTACATATTACTTCAACTACCTCAACTAGCCGGTGCCCCCGCACATTGACTCTGCACCGGTACCCCCCTGTATATATAGCCTCCCTACTATTATTTTATTTTACTTCTGCTCTTTTGTTCTCAACACTTTTTTTGTTTTATTCTACTTTTTTTATTTAAAATAAATGCACTGTTGGTTAAGGGCTGTAAGTAAGCATTTCACTGTAATGTCTGCACCTGTTGTATTCGGCGCATGTGGCCAATAAAATTTGATTTGATTTGATTTGACTACTCCCTTCACAGAACAGCGCAAACTGGCTCTAACCAGAATAGAAAGAGGAGTGGGAGTCCCCGGTGCACAACTGAGCAAGAGGACAAATACATTAGAGTGTCTAGTTTGAGAAACAGACGCCTCACAGGTCCTCAACTGGCAGCTTCATTAAATAGTACCCACAAAACACCAGTCTCAACGTCAACAGTGAAGAGGCGACTCCGGGATGCTGACCTTCTAGGCAGAGTTGCAAAGAAAAAGGCCATATCTCAGACTGCCCATCTTAATATTTTATTTTTATTGGCCAGTCTGAGATAAGATGGGCAAAAGAACACAGACACTGGACAGAGGAAGATTGGAAAAACAGACAAATCGAAGTTTGAGGTGTTCGGATCACAAAGAAGAACATTTGTGAGACGCAGACCAAATTAAAAGATGCTGGAGCAGTGCTTGATGCCACCCGTCAAGCATGGTGGAGGCAATGTGATGGTCTGGGGGTGCTTTGGTGGTGGTAAAGTGGGAGATTTGTACAGGGTAAAAGGGATCTTGAAGAAGGAAGGCTATCACTCCATTTTGCAATGCCAAGCCATACCCTGTGGACGGCGCTTGATTGGAGCCAATTTCCTCCTACAACAGGACAATGACCCAAAGCACAGCTCCAAACTATGCAATAACTATTTAGGGAAGAAGCAGTCAGCTGGTATTCTGTCTATAATGGAGTGGCCAGCACATCTCAACACTATTGAGCTGTTGTGGGAGCAGCTTGACCGTATGGTACGTAAAAAGTGCCCATCAAGCCAATCCAACTTGTGGGAGGTGCTTCAGGAAGCATGGGGTGAAATCTCTTCAGATTACCTCAACAAATTGACAACTAGAATGCCAAAGGTCAGCAAGGCTGCAATTGCTGCAAATGGAGGAATTCTTTGACGAAAGCAAAGTTTGAAGGACACAATTATTATTTCAATTAAAAATCATTATTTCTAACCTTGTTAATGACTACATTTCCTATTCATTTTGCTATATTTCCTATTCAAACTCATTTCATGTATGTTTTCATGGAAAACAAGGACATTTCTAAGTGACCCCAAACTTTTGAACGGTAGTGTATATATATATCTGAAATAGATGAGTGTGTTATTCAGTATCCTCAGGGCATCATACTGTTGAGGGGCAAAGACAAGTGGATCTGTCCCTTGTCAGCAACTAGGCACTTTTTCTACTATCTTTCTCTGACTACACTGCCAGTTTTTACTTCCAACATAAACTCCCTTCTACTTGGTCTGTATCCCAAATGGCACCCTGTTCCCTTTTGACAAGAGTCCTATGAGCCATGGTCAAAATAAGTGCACTATATACGGAATAGGGTGCCATTTGGGATGCAACCTTGCTCTCTTCTCTGTGATGAAGGTAGTGTGTCAAGGTTTTGACATATTTTCAACAGCTTCTCACCTGACTAAAAGGTAGTCTTAGAGACTACTAGAAGACAGACTATTCAGTCTTAACACGAGCAGCCATACACATTTTTCCTGTTATGGGAAGTTCTTGACTTTCTACAGGAATATAATTAGGTTGGCTAACCCTCAGTCTTGCCTGTAGTGTAGGGCCTGCAGTGTTACAAAGCTACTGACCTGTCCAGTGTGACTTACTGTAGTTGGTAGAACATGGCACTTACAATGCCAATGCCCGGATTATTGAGTTCGATTCTCGCTGGGGACACACTTAAGAAAATAAATGCTAGTAAAACTGTAATGTTCATTGGATAAAAGCGTCTGCTAAATAGCATATATTATATCATTCAGATTCTTACACAGTTGCAAACTTGGTTATTCATTTTAATGTCACCTCCATGTACCTTTCCAGGTCGCCTAACAGTAGCCAGGTTCTTCAAACCTCTCTGCTTCTTCTGTTCACATCTGTAAACATGACCTAGAACCTTCAACAGTAGGCTATGCCAAAGATGGTTCTGTGGCTATGCTCCAGTCATGTAAACCTCACATCTGTGACTGTAAGATTTACAAATACAAATTTTTACTGTATTCCCCGTGCTTACAGTGACACCCTCTGGCAAAGCTTGGTACGGTGTCCAAATCACTACATAATTTTAATATATATACATTTACATTACACTTTAGTCATTTAGCAGACACTCTTATCCAGAGCGACTTACAGTTAGTGAGTGGGAATCGAACCCACAACCCTGGCGTTGCAAACGTCATGCTCTATCAACTGAGCTACACGGGGCCTATATATATATATAGATAACAAACAATGAGACATCATTGAGTTCAAGAATTGACAAGAACATAAAAGACCAGAAAAATGTTTTCGAAAACATTAGTTATGACAGCATATGATAATGTGACAATGACACTTATTCTGAAAATAATTTGTTATAATATTGGACTGTAGACAAGCTTTTCTTATTATTTAGTAATTTCAGAGACTCAATGAAAAACAAAGTCTATAAAAAACACTTTAAAGCAGGGGGTTGATTTAAAAAAGTTGGTTTTGTGGATATAAGACTTACCAACCAACCAAAATCAAGACATTAGTTATACATTTCAAAGAGTTCAGAGTACTGTCAAACAAGGTTATAACATCATTCAATATCAATAGTGTCACCAGTTTTACTCAGTATACACTCCTTCATATCTCTCCAAAATGGAATAGTGTACAAACAACTGTAAAACAAATGTGTCATCGTTCCAGGTCCATCATTGCAGAAGGGTACACTTGTCGTCAATGTCTGTAAACCTTGACACCATTGTGTTGGAGGGGTACATATCGGGAAAAAATCTTTAGGAGCACCTCTCTTATCTTATTAGAAATACAACATTTAAAGGGACAAAGCCAAGGCTTTCTCCATTGATAGTTGTGGATTCCAAAAGGATTTCCCTCTTGGTGTGATCTTTCTTTCACTATTAAACATATAATCTTATGTGTTTATTTGTACACTTGAGACTTTTGATATCAATATCAAAAATATCATAAATAGACTAGGTTCTATTCTAAGTGTATCTTGAAAACACAGATGACTTTTCATTAGCTGGGAAATACCAGCGGGAATAGCATTAATCACAGAGTGATAGTCTTTGTGTGTAACAGGAAAGGCTTTGACTCTTAAAAATACCTCATAACTTAACATTTGGCCACCACTATCAAACATGCCACCTACAAAGATGATATTGTTCTCTATCCAATGTTGTTTTTAATAGTGATATTACCATTATTCCACAGAATAGCTTTATGAGGCAAAAAGTCATGCACAAAACATAATTTCCATGCCAAGGGCTTGGTGATAACATTTTGACAATTTAAGTGGCAGTTTAGTTATGTTGTAAATACAAAAAAAAATAGTAAACCCCCAATTTTCTTAAAAAATAAAGAACCATAAAGATTCTGGAGATTCTATGCATTTTTTTCAAATACTTAATCTTAAATGTACTATTTATATCCACAAAATCCAATAACTCAAAACCAGTGGAGGCTGCTGAAGGGAGGATGGCTCATAATAATGACTGGAACTGGGCAAATGGAATGGCATCAAACACATAGAAACCATGTGTTTGATACCATTCCACTGATTCCTCTCCAGCCATTACCACGAGCCCGTCCTCCCCAATTAAGGTGCCACCAACCTCCTGTGCTCAAAACCTCCTTCTGCCATAGTTGCAGAGTGAACTTCATTTTTAAGGTGGGGATGTTTGTTTTTCCACACAAACCAAACAATCCATATCACTAAACGGTGGAGGGGAGGAGGAGGTTCATGTCGTCAGCTGTTCGACGTGGCGACTTCACGTAACGTTACGTATAGGGCCAGATGAGGGAGGGAGGGACTGCTTCAGGGATTATATCTGCATACTGTGCTCGGTTCTACCCGGGGATGCTAACGGAATCACGACTACAGTCATGCGTTCATCAACAGACGAAAAATAAACATTGCAACGGTGTTAATCCGTTCATAATAGTAATATTTTATGAAATATCGTGCAGAATAAGCAGCAACATTTTACATTTTGGGAGACTGGACTACTGCACCCACACATCAGGTAACGTTAGCTAGCTAACGTTAGCAGATCACGCTAACTGAGATCATCATCATTTTCTGCAGCACCACCAGTTTAGCCAGCTGGCTAGGTTTGGAGCTAGCTAGCTAGATGTCGTGTTGCTAGCAAGATAACTAGATACAACACGAATAATGATCACGAATAGCTAGCTATGGCTTTTGTAATGTGTTGTATTGTGAAATATGATGGCTTGTTGAGAGAGCAGGTTATCGCTTCATTCAGCTCTGAAACGTTACTGGTGGACAGCTCAGCCATCTAGCTAAGGAATGTGGACACTGCATTTTTACATATCACAGCTGGCTATGCTGGATATTATGCTGAATTAGGCATATTCTACCCATATTTACGTTGAAACCATTCCTATCATTAATGTGAAAAGCTCAGTGTATGTGATGATCGTTCTCCCCCCCCCTCCTCTCTCTCTCCATCCTCCATCTCTGTCTCTCACCCAACGCTCTCTCTCCTGCAGACTACCACCATGGCAGACAGTTTTATGGGCAAGGCGGCTACCATGGAGATTCCTATCAACAGCAATGGAGAGACCCTGGCCGAGGATGACAGTTTGGAGCAGGTGGGTCATTTGATTGTGTCCCAAATGGCACCATATTCTCTATATAATGCACTTCTTTTGACCAGGGCCCATAGGGCTCTGGTCAAAAGTAGGGCACTATGGGAATATGGTGCCATTTGGGATACAGTCACTGCGTACAGTATTCACAGTTGAAGTCTTGTTAACAAACTAAAGTTTTGGCAAGTCGGTTAGGACATCTTCTTTGTGCATGACACAAGTACATTTTCCAACAATTGCTTACAGAGAGATTATTTCACTTATAATTCACTGTATCACAATTCCAGTGGGTCAGAAGTTTACATACACTAAGTTGACAGTGCCTTTAAACAGCTTGGAAAATTCAGCTTGGAAGCTTCTGATAGGCTAATTGACATCATTTGAGTCAAATGGAGGTGTACCTGTGGATGTATTTCAAGGCCTACCTTCAAACTCAGTGCCGCTTTGCTTGACATCATGGGAAAATCAAAAGAAATCAGCCAAGACCTCAGAAAAAAAATTTGTAGACCTCCACAAGTCTGGTTCATCCTTGGAGCAATTTCCAAATGCCTGAAGGTACCACGTTCATCTGTACAAACAATAGTACGCAAGTATAAACACCATGGGACCACGCAGCCTTCATACCGCTCAGGAAGGAGACGCGTTCTGTCTCCTAGAGATGAACGTACTTTGGTGTGAAAAGTGCAAATCAATCCCAGAACAACAGCAAATGACCTTGTGAAGATGCTGGAGCAAACAGGTACAAAAGTATCTATATCCACAGTAAAATGAGTCCTATATTGACATAACCTGAAAGGCCGCTCAGCAAGGAAGAAGCCACTGCTCCAAAACCGCCATAAAAAAGACAGACTACGGTTTGCAACTGCACATGGGGACAAAGATCGTACTTTTTGGAGAAATGTCCTCATATCTGATGCAACAAAAATAAAACTGTTTGGCCATAAAGACCATCGTTATGTTTGGAGGAAAAAGGGGCTTGCTTGCAAGCCGAAGAACATCATCCCAACTGTGAAGCACGGGGGTGGCAGCATCATGCTGTGGGGGTGCTTTGCTGCAGGAGGGACTGGTGCACTTCACAAAATAGATGGCATCATGAGGAAGAAAATTATGTGGATACAGTGGGGGAAAAAAGTATTTAGTCAGCCACCAATTGTGCAAGTTCTCCCACTTAAAAAGATGAGAGAGGCCTGTAATTTTCATCATAGGTACAAGTCAACAATGACAGACAAATTGAGAAAAGAAAATCCAGAAAATCACATTGTAGGATTTTTTATGAATTTATTTGCAAATTATGGTGGAAAATAAGTATTTGGTCACCTACAAACAAGCAAGATTTCTGGCTCTCACAGACCTGTAACTTCTTCTTTAAGAGGCTCCTCTGTCCTCCACTCGTTACCTGTATTAATGGCACCTGTTTGAACTTGTTATCAGTATAAAAGACACCTGTCCACAACCTCAAACAGTCACACTTCAAACTCCACTATGGCCAAGACCAAAGAGCTGTCAAAGGACACCAGAAACAAAATTGTAGACCTGCACCAGGCTGGGAAGACTGAATCTGCAATAGGTAAGCAGCTTGGTTTGAAGAAATCAACTGTGGGAGCAATTATTAGGAAATGGAAGACATACAAGACCACTGATAATCTCCCTCGATCTGGGGCTCCACGCAAGATCTCACCCCGTGGGGTCAAAATGATCACAAGAACGGTGAGCAAAAATCCCAGAACCACACGGGGGGACCTAGTGAATGACCTGCAGAGAGCTGGGACCAAAGTAACAAAGCCTACCATCAGTAACGCACTACGCCGCCAGGGACTCAAATCCTGCAGTGCCAGACGTGTCCCCCTGCTTAAGCTAGTACATGTCCAGGCCCGTCCGAAGTTTGCTAGAGTGCATTTGGATGATCCAGAAGAGGATTGGGAGAATGTCATATGGTCAGATGAAACCAAAATATAACTTTTTGGTAAAAACTCAACTCGTCGTGTTTGGAGGACAAAGAATGCTGAGTTGCATCCAAATAACACCATACCTACTGTGAAGCATGGGGGTGGAAACATCATGCTTTGGGGCTGTTTTTCTGCAAAGGGACCAGGACGACTGATCCGTGTAAAGGAAAGAATGAATGGGGCCATGTATCGTGAGATTTTGAGTGAAAACCTCCTTCCATCAGCAAGGGCATTGAAGATGAAACGTGGCTGGGTCTTTCAGCATGACAATGATCCCAAACACACCGCCCGGGCAACGAAGGAGTGGCTTCGTAAGAAGCATTTCAAGGTCCTGGAGTGGCCTAGCCAGTCTCCAGATCTCAACCCCATAGAAAATCTTTGGAGGGAGTTGAAAGTCTGTCCCAAAACATCACTGCTCTAGAGGAGATCTGCATGGAGGAATGGGCCAAAATACCAGCAACAGTGTGTGAAAACCTTGTGAAGACTTACAGAAAACGTTTGACCTGTGTCATTGCCAACAAAGGGTATATAACAAAGTATTGAGAAACTTTTGTTATTGACCAAATACTTATTTTCCACCATAATTTGCAAATAAATTCATTAAAAATCCTACAATGTGATTTTCTGGATTTTTTTCCCTCATTTTGTCTGTCATAGTTGACGTGTACCTATGATGACAATTACAGGCCTCTCTCATCTTTTTAAGTGGGAGAACTTGCACAATTGGTGGCTGACTAAATACTTTTTTCCCCCACTGTATATTGAAGCAACATCTCAAGACATCAGTCAGGAAGTTAAAGCTTGGTCGCAAATGGGTCTTCCAAATGGACAATGACCCCAAGCATACTTCCAAAGTTGTGGCAAAATGGCTTAAGGACAACAAAGTCAACGTATTGGAGTGGCCATCACAAAGCCCTGACCTCAATCCTGTTGAAAGTTGGTGGCCAGAACTGAAAAAGCGTGTGCGAGCAAGGAGGCCTACAAACCTGACTCAGTTACACCAGCTCTGTCAGGAGGAATGGGTCAAAATTCACCCAACTTATTGTGGGAAGCTTGTGGAAAGCTACCCAAATTGTTTGACCCAAGTTAAACAATTTAAAGGCAATGCTACCAAATACTAATTGAGTGTATGTAAACGTCTGACCCACTGGGAATGTGATGAAAGAAATAAAAGCTGAAATAAATCATTCTCTCTACAATTATTCTGACATTTCACATTCTTAAAATAAAGTGGTGATCCTAACTGACCTAAGACAGGGAATTTTTACTAGGATTAAAAGTCAGGAATTGTGAAAAACTGAGTTTAAATGTATTTGGCTAAGGTGTATGTAAACTTCCGACTCCAACTGTATATGTATACTGTGTGTGGTGACCTCTCATTACATCAACTATTTGTTTGTGTATTTTATTGTACTGTATTATGTCTCACTTCTGTGCAGGCTGCAAAGAGTCAGTGGACCTTAGATGAGAAGGTAGGGATATACAGTAGAAGGGATGAGAGAGTGTGTCACGTCGTGGTAGGAAAACTCTAGATTTAGATGTAGTGTACATGTTAACATAGAAGACTTTCTGACTAACCACAATAAACCTTTATCAATTGTTTTTCACCTAATCTACTGAACCATTTTCATGTGTGTGAGTGTCTGTGTACAACAAAGATTAGGCCTATATGGAAGGTCTTCGTCAGGTTGACAATAGACTCTACAGGACCATTACGCATTAGTCCGTCCAGGATTGAGCCTTATTTTGTTGCGAAATCATAAATTCCCGCATATTATGCAGGGCTTGCAAAGTTGATCAATCACTGCACTATTTCTGCATTAAACAGTAAAATCATCGAAATATCACCCATCACCGCAGTACAAAAAGAGGGCTCGCAATTTCAACCAATTACTGCGTATTTACCACATAATATGGTTCAATCAAGCCACACAACAACAAATGTTTTCCTCGCCAAATGCATTTGCGCAACAAATTGGACAAAATCATTGCATGTTGCCATGCAAAATGTCAGAATTGGCACGGCAAAATCAAGCGTTTTTGGCCACAAATAATCTCTGCGAAATCGGTGAGGGACTGATTTAGAGTTAGGCTATATCTATTCCATTGATGTGTTGTGGCTTCACCTTAGGACCTGCAGCAGGTGATGGTGTCTGGTCCCAACCTGAATGAGACCAGCATCGTCTCTGGAGGCTACGGAGGTCCTGCAGGGGGCATCATACCCACCTCCTCCATCAAAGGTACACACAGCTCTACTGCTCTCACTAGTTCACTAGCTCCATTAAAGGTACAGACAGCTCTCTCTAGTGCTCCCTACTGCTGTCACTGCAGTGCATTACTGGAATGTCCGCTTAATTATGTCCACTTAGGACTTATTGAATCAATGAATAGCCTAGTCCCTTTAGCAAGGTCTGTGCTGCTAGCTTGGTTTGTTAGCATTAAGAGTGGTGAAGACTACATTTTCAACTGCCCCAATGTCATTTGTCCTGATGGAATTCAATTAATTTTGTTTTTCTTTCAGGACCTTGCCAGAGGCATGCTGTTCTGCATCAGTTACTCTTTATTTTGACCTAACCTTCTTTCTGTTCTTTCAGGAGTCTCTATGAGTAACAAACAGTCTCTCTACTGTATTGGCTATTTTGATTTTGAGATCTACTTCCTACTCTCTCTTACTGACTATCTTAACCAACCCTGTCCTCCAGGCCCTGCTATCCGCTTCAACCCTCAGTATGTGGACAGGAGACGCCCCCCTGCCCCTAACTGTGCCCTTGTCCCTGGAGCCGAACCTCAGCCCACAGGTGGCTTTGCACCTCTCAGCCACCTTCCACAAAACTGTATACTTCCCTCTTTAAAGGTAGACTCAGCTAAAATTATGTTGCCACAAGCAGCACCGCAGATATTGAGATGAGCGAGATGCAAGACTATGCTCTCACACAGTGATTACTGATCAATTCATTTATACATTTATAGTTAGTAGGTTTTGTTATCTGTTTTAACAAACCTTTTTATTTTTGTACTTATGTATTGGATATTGTTTTTTGGTGGTTTGGTTTTCATATAAGCCACTGGGCTTCCAACCACACCACAAATTATTTGTTTTATCTGTATTGTTGTCTATCACTTGTTTTCTTTGGTAAAAAAAACAGTCTCACACACTATCTGCGCATGTGCACAGGTTCGTTTCACTCTGTTCACAGTGTGGTAGCCTGGGAACCAAAACACCTGAGAAGTTGAGCCTCGCGCTTCAACACTCTTAGTTGTTGTGGAAATTAACCCACTCTGCTGTTTACTCTCTGCATCTACATCATATTGCTGAGTCTACCTTTAACAGTTTTCCCCCTCTTTTATTTTCTTCACCTGTTTACACTTTCAATGGTGTATTCATTAGTTACTCTTTAATTCTGTGGGAGAATGAGCCTTGCCTGTAGCTTGGGTTGCTGTTTAACCCCAGACACAGTTGAAGTCCCTCTTTTCAACAACACTGTGTACCTCTACAGATGTCATGGGAAAGAAGGGAATGCTGCTGTACTGTCGGATGTTAACAAAAAAACTAGCTATGTTTACTAACCTGACTGACTTCATTGCAGAGCTGTTTGATTTACTGTGTTATGTTTGTGTGAATGTTTCTAATGATGACAACTTCATCCCAAATGGCACCCTATTCACCACATAGTGCACTACTTTTCACCAGAGCCTTATGGCTCCCCCATAGGCAATATGGTGCCATTTTGGACGCATCCTATGTATGCAAATGTGCCATGAAGCAGTTAACTAATGGAATGTTGAGGTTCATTAACTCACCACATGACATGTGCATCATTTCATACATTACTATTACTTATGTTGCGTTTTCATTCTGTTGTTTTTTCGACATGGAAAACCTGCATGACTCACTATCACCATCCTCTCACCCCTGTAACACGTTCACCACCTTCATCTATTTTCTCCAATGTCATTGATCACATATCCTCACATCTCCTCTGCCCATCCTCCCCCCATGTCCATTCCAGACCTGCGAATGAAGTCCAGGGGACAGGGTGTAGGTCTGGTCTCCAGCCAGTCAGCAGCCAGCATGATAGCCAACCAAAACCAGACCGACCAGCCATTCACAGGTACCACTGGAGATGCAAAATTCCAGGTTTCACAAAATTCCCAGGTTTTCTAGAAATCCTGGTCGGAAGATTTCCGGAATTGGAAGGTAATTCCAGAATTACTATAAGCGGTAAATCCAGAATTCTGAAACCAGGGTTTCTGGAAAACGTGGACATTTGACCTGGGAATGATACTGGAATGTTGCAGCCCTACACTGGACCCATACAGCACCACCCTCCTTTACTCCACTTCACTCTGTTCACTCATTCACTGGCCTGGAGATACTGTAGTAGTTGCCTCCTTATAACGCAACAGTTTGAAATGATCATACTGCCAAATGATGAGGTTTACAGTCTTTCTTTACATTGGACCCATACAGCACCACCCTCCTTTACTCCACTTCACTCTGTTCACTCATTCATTTCATTCAGTCCTCTCAACTGATCAATCAATCACTGTCATACTATTTGTCTCAAAGACATACTTGGTACATGAAAGGAATATTTCAGGTGTTTGCTTTGAGGAGTAGTGATGAGGAGAGTGCCCAACTAAGCACTGATCTACCACTGTGTGTAATCTGTGTATCGTAGCGCTACTGACTGAAGCTGGTTTTGTGACAGCGTTCATAGTAAATGAGATGGACAGTCCATCTTCTTTACTATAGGTCTCAGCAACCAACCACCTTAAGGAATCCTCTGAGAGTGAGCATGTTATTTATTATCCTTTGTGTCAGGGTTGGGGATGCACCACAGTAACAGCAACCAGAACATGTCAGCGGAGGAGGCTAACCGGGGTGTGGCTGTGGAGAAACTAGACAGCGTTAAGAAGTGGGGTATCAACACCTACAAGGTACAGAACAGAACCCGTCTCCTGGGGAACATTTGTTGAAGCCATACTTCACAGAATCTTCACTGTGTTCTATGGGTGTGATTGCGACTGCACTGGTATGATCATTTGTCTTCATACAAGACTGGGAATAATTTCCTCCTTGGAAAACGAGTAACTATTCTATTCGGTTCTATTCTGAACACATCTCTCCATATCGTCTTTATCCCAGTGTGTCAAGCATATATTCTCATCTCCTCTTCTGTTCTCTCCTTTATCCTAATCACGTCTCTCCATCTCTACCCCAGTGTACCAAGCAGATGTTCTCGGAGAGGTTCGGCCGTGGTTCTCGGACGGTGGACCTGGAGCTGGAGGCCCAGATAGATGTGCTCAGGGACACCAAGAGGAAGTACGAGTCTGTCCTGAGACTGACCAGCGCCCTGACCAGCCACTTCTACAACATGGTCCAGACCCAGCAGTCCCTGGGAGACACCTTCGCGGACCTCAGCCAGAAATCACCTGAACTACGGGTAAGAAAGACTTCTAACCCCTGAATTTTAACACCTGACCCCTAACCTTAACCCGTAGACCTCAGCCCAGATAGAAATCAGCTGCAGATGGCACACTGTCTGAAATTGGCCCCCAAATATTTTTCTGAAAATCCAGGATGTAATTTTGGGTTGGAATCCAGGCTACCTTCCTGAATTGTAATCAATCCATAAATACCTAATGTAGAGGAAAAGTCAGTATGGGGTAGGGCGTCATTGTAAATAAGAATTTGTTCTTTACTGACTTGCCTAGTTAAATATTTCCTGTCGCAGTGGTTGGCCCACAGGTACTTGTCACAGAATCCCGAATCCAGGCTCTTGGAGCCGGCACTACCGGGCCATGAGGACACACAATTGCCAGGCTGCAGGGGGAGGTAAGGCCGCATGATATACTGGGAAATAAAGATTTGTCTCACCAATTTATGCTATGACTCCCATTAAAATATGAGAGAGGCCTGTAGTTTTCATCATAGGTACACGTCAACTATGACAGACAAATTTGAGAGAAAAAAATCCAGAAAATCACATAGTAGGATTTTTAATGAATTTATTTGCAAATGATGGTGGAAAATAAGTATTTGGTCACCTACAAACAAGCAAGATTTCTGGCTCTCACAGACCTGTAACTTCTTCTTTAAGAGGCTCCTCTGTCCTCCACTCGTTACCTGTATTAATGGCACCTGTTTGAACTTGTTATCAGTATAAAAGACACCTGTCCACAACCTCAAACAGTCACACTCCAAACTCCACTATGACCAAGACCAAAGAGCTGTCAAAGGACACCAGAAACAAAATTGTAGACCTGCACCAGGCTGGGAAGACTGAATCTGCAATAGGTAAGCAGCTTGGTTTGAAGAAATCAACTGTGGGAGCAATTATTAGGAAATGGAAGACATACAAGACCACTGATAATCTCCCTCGATCTGGGGCTTCACGCAAGTTCTCACCCCGTGGGGTCAAAATGATCACAAGAATGGTGAGCAAAAATCCCAGAACCACACGGGGGGACCTAGTGAATGACCTGCAGAGAGCTGGGACCAAAGTAACAAAGCCTACCATCAGTAACACACTACGCCGCCAGGGACTCAAATCCTGCAGTGAAAGACGTGTCCCCCTGCTTAAGCCAGTACATGTCCAGGCCCGTCTGAAGTTTGCTAGAGTGCATTTGGATGATCCAGAAGAGGATTGGGAGAATGTCATATGGTCAGATGAAACCAAAATAGAACTTTTAGGTAAACACTCAACTCGTCGTGTTTGGAGGACAAAGAATGCTGAGTTGCACCATACCTACTGTGAAGCATGGGGGTGGAAACATCATGCTTTGGGGCTGTTTTTCTGCAAAGGGACCAGGACGACTGATCCGTGTAAAGGAAAGAATGAATGGGGCCATGTATCGTGAGATTTGGAGTGAAAACCTCCTTCCATCAGCAAGGGCATTGAAGATGAAACGTGGCTGGGACTTTCAGCATGAGAATGATCCCAAACACACCGCCCGGGCAACGAAGGAGTGGCTTTGTAAGAAGCATTTCAAGGTCCTGGAGTGGCCTAGCCAGTCTCCAGATCTCAACCCCATAGAAAATCTTTGGAGGGAGTTGAAAGTCCATGTTGCCCAGCGACAGCCCCAAAACATCACTGCTCTAGAGGAGATCTGCATGGAGGAATGAGCCAAAATACCAGCAACAGTGTGTGAAAACCTTGTGAAGACTTACAGAAAACGTTTGACCTGTGTCATTGCCAACAAAGGGTATATAACAAAGTATTGAGAAACTTTTGTTATTGACCAAATACTTATTTTCCACCATAATTTGCAAATAAATTGAATTTTATTTCTCATTTTGTCTGTCATAGTTGACGTGTACCCTATGATGAAAATTACAGGCCTCTCTCATCTTTTTAAGTGGGAGAACTTGCACAATTGGTGGCTGACTAAATACTTTTTTTCCCCACTGTAGCTCAGTTGATAGAGCATGGCGTTTGCAACGCCAGGGTTGTGGGTTCGATTCCCACGGGGGGCCAGTATAAAAAAATATGTATTCACTAACTGTAAGTCGCTCTGGATAAGAGAGTCTGCTAAATGACTAAAATATAAAATGTAAATGTAAATAAAAATAAATACATGTAAACGCAAGTGTTTGTGTCCACAGGATGAGTTTGGCTACAATGCAGAGACCCAGAAGTTGTTGTGTAGGAACGGGGAGGCTCTGCTTGGAGCCATCAACTTCTTTGTGTCCAGCATCAATACACTGGTCAACAAGACCATGGAGGACACACTGATGACAATCAAACTGTACGAGGCTGCAAGGTAATAATACAGATGGGAGGGTTAGAAAGGTGCAGGGCCTGGAGATACTGTAGTAGTTGCCTCCTTATAACGCAAAAGTTTCAAATGATCATACTGCCAAATTATAATGAGGTTTACAGTCTTTTTTTACACAGATCTGTGCTCCTTTACGCCACAAAAATGTGGCTCTATATCTATGATTGCCAGAGACATTATATAGAGTATGTTTGTCTACATGACATCATAGTTTTGTGTGTCAGGCTGGAGTTTGATGTGTACCATGTTTGATGGTTATACGTTGTTATGGGGTGTTATGTGGGTGTTTTATAGGCTTGGGTGGTATACCGTATATACCGTATACCGGGGTATTTGGAAAAAGCCACAGGATGGTTTTTCAATACTCTCAAAACTATTTATTTGAAGATTATCAATACATCTGAATATTTCTAGCTACTTTTTAAGTTAATACCTGCAGTCAACTTGTGCAGTACTTTAGGAGATAAAGCAGATTGTGTTCTTCATTTCACCTGTCAAATTATTTTACATTATGAAGCTTACTGTAGTTCCCCAGAACAGTTAAGCTAGTCACGTGTTTGTTTGTAAATAGCACAACGGGAGACAGCGTTCTATATCTATCGGCGAGTCTCTGTTGTGCGGCGCACATGAGGTGAAGAAGTTACACTTGTATGCAATTCACTACTAAATGTTTGCCATCAGATATCTTATAACGGCTTTCTGCCATGTTTGAGAAGTCAAAGAGCTCTGGATGAGTTATCTGTACAGCTGTCATTTGTTCCCTGTGCTTCCTATTAGCGGTTTATACCTCCTCGTTCTCCTCCCCTCTGCTCCGTGTACACATGCTGCTCTTCCTTGAGAAAAGCATGCATCACAACTTTGTTCATTTGCACAGTTTCTCTCATTCACTTTCGCTTGGAAATGTCCACACTCACCGGAAATGACATTTGGTAGCTACTAGCTATGCTTGTATAACTTTATGAGCTGGATTTGCCTGTCTTTGCAATTGGTTTATGTTCGTTTTCGCTCGTTAGCATTTAGCTAACAGTGTCTATGTGACTTCTCTATTAAGTGTGCTAATTCTGTTAGCATTCTGGTACTAGACGCCCAATGGGCTTTTTTTGCGCCGCCTTGTGTGCTATGCCGGTAATACCGTAAATCCCGGGATGGCAGAAGAACGAATGGTATGAAAATCTGGATACCGCCCAAGCCTAGTTTTACTCTGCCTCTCCTCCCCTCTCCCAGGCTAGAGTTTGATGCGTACAGGGCCGACCTGGAGGAGTTGAGTCTGGGTCCTCGTGATGCTGCCACCATGGTGCGTATAGAGGTGTCCCAGCAGCAGTACCAGGTGCAGAGAGACAAGTACGAACGACTGCGCTCAGACGTCACCATCAAACTCAAGTTCCTGGAGGAGAACAAGGTGGGCTTGTTAGTTATTTGGTTAGTTTGTTAGTTCATTGGTTAGTTAGGTGGTTAGTTACTTTACAATAATGCTACATCTCTCTCTCTGTGTCTCTCTCTCTCTGTGTCTCTCTCTCTCTGTGTCGCTCTCTCGCTCTCCTCTCTCTCTCTCTCTGTGTGTGTGTGTGTGTAGGTGAAGGTGATGCACAAGCAGCTGCTCCTCTTCCATAATGCTATCTCAGCCTACTTCGCTGGGAACCAGCAGCAGTTGGAACAGACACTGAGACAGTTCAACGTCAAGTTAAAGCCCCCAGGGTCAGACAAGCCCTCCTGGCTGGAGGAGAGCTAGAGTGATCAGCTCCCAGTCCTCTGGGCCCGTATGTATCAAGCATCTCAGAGTACGAGTGATGATCTAGGATCAGTTTAGCCTTTTAGATCATAATGAATAAGATTATATGGACAGATCCTAGATCAGCACTCTTACTCTGAGATGCTTGATACATACAGCACCAGGTCTCAGTCAGGTCTCTGGTATATATGGGACACACAGACGGAGAGACACACTGGGGTTGGAAGAAACCAGAGGAATGGATGGATAGACGGATGAACAGATATATGAAATCTACACGAACTGTATATAAAAACCAGAGATGGGACAAGTAGAGACTAGTGATGATGATACTAAGGGGAAAAGAACGCTTATCTAGTTTCATTTAGTTTGGCCAATACGTTGCTCATTTGTTTATAGAATGTCTATTTTATGTTGATTTGATTTCACAACAGAGCCTCATTATATTGTTGCTATGTAGCGTGACTTTTAATTGATCATACTTTGAGAAGTTATTCTAAGCTTATACTTTGCACATAAACGTAATCATTATTTTCAAACTATTTTCGCTCTTTTGTAAAGCGTTATGTAAAGCATTCCAGAGGTCATCATTTGAAAGGTCAGTAAACTCTTTACATGTGTAGAGGATATTAGGAATGGGCTATGTATCTGGACCAGTTACATTGTTTGCACCAGGTGAAGATTAGAGGTAGATTTATGAATGAGCAAAGGGAGAAACCTACAGTTTGTGGTATACTATTAATGACATAAATTATGGGCTAAAGGGGCAATCCTGGATTTGTAAAACAAAGCAGTCAAGAATCAATGGCTATATATCATGAATTTAAAAGTCAAGAAATGTGTACCGATCCCAGATTGCCCCTTTGGCTATCAATGATTTTGAAGACAGGAAGTACGACTTTTGCATTTACAATAGATAATCTCCCTCTGATTAATCCTACAGATAATGTTATTACACGTGTTATTACACATGTTTATTATGTTATTATATCTTTATGACATATCCAATATCCCAATAATCACAGAGTTAACATATGTTCATAGAAATACCTCGACTAATTCCATTCAGATGTATATGTTCTTATGTTTTTCTTTTGTTTCCTCTCCCATTTCTACATCAATGTTATCTCGTTTTAAAACGGATATGGACCTGGTGTACAGGATATGAAATGATGGTGATTTATAGTATATGGTTTGATGTTTCCATACAGACTTGATGTTTCCCCACAGAAGCTGTATAGTAATAACACTGTCCATCTGCTGTCCACTGAGTATATTGTAGTCATCATCTGTATAAGTACTGTACCATATTGTGTTCATACATTACATGGCAATACAATCCAAAACATGGCTGAAAAATGACTGGTACTTCCATCTGTGATTGACATCTTGACTGTTAATCAGGCAACTGTCCTTCACTGTGTCCCAAATGGCACCGTATTACCTATGTAGCACACTGTTAGACTAGTGCACTATATAGGGAATAGGCAGTTTGTGACGCAACCCTGCTAGTGCACTATATAGGGAATAGGCAGTTTGTGATGCAACCCTGCTACCAGGGTTAAGATCAAGCTGATTTGTATCTGGTGAAGTCAGAGTGAGAGCTGATTGTCTGGTCTATTAAACAGCTTGTGAAGTTATAGGATGTCTTTCATCAGTCTGTGGACAAATCCACTATCTATTCCACCAGGTAGATGAGGACAGTAGGCAATATTTGACACATAAAAACAAAAAAAATCTGTGTCTGATTAAAACGGACCATTTTTCTTACGAAAAATCAAGATTCAAAATGTAAATTACTTTTAGTAGCTAGGATCACACCATCCTACATATATAATGGTCCATTTCTCAAAAAATACGTAGTTGTTCATTATATTCATGCTCAATGTGATCAGGAATGTTTTCTTTAGAGAACAGAAGTTTGGAGTATGTGACATTCTTTGTCTGCTTGAACCGTGCTGTATCTTGTTATTTAACTCTCGGACGTATTATCCGTTTGACAGTGGATAGAGGGGTCTGATTAGCAAACGGTACAGGGACTCAATCGTTCATCCCGAATGGCGCCCTATTCCCTACAGGAATTTGGGATGTGTGCCATGTTTAATCACAGAATATTGCTATTTAATCATGTCATACATGTCAACACCGTGATCAGTGATGTGATGAATTCCACTGTCCTGATGTTTAAATGTTTCATCTAAAAAGTCTAGGGCACCTGAAATGTAATATCCCAAAAGGTGGTGGTCAGGCCCTGAACTGCTGAATGTGTTTAGTTAATGATACAGACAATTTCATATAAAAACAAAGTTCTAACAAACAAGAATTTAAACCAAAAAAATTCATCTGCAAAAATTGAGATTTTCATTAGACAGCGACGATAGAGTAATGTAGCATAAGCCATAAAAAATATTTTTTTGCATAAGCCATAAAATGTGTTTTTAAGCTCTCAATATTTATTTTGAACATTCTGAAAGTTCTGTGGCAGTTGTTCCACCATTGATAAAATAGCCTATGAATGGTAGCAAGAAGCTGTGTTGAAGCAATCTAAGTTGAGTCAGACTGCACATCAATGTTGGTTTGGTGTTTGTAGCATAAACGGTTCAAGAGCAGTGGTGTATCCAACATCGAAGGTTGAATGACTGTATGGGAATTTGTGGTGGTGGTTTGGGGTCTGTTAGCAGGAATACAAAGCTTTGCTAGGGTTTGAAACTTTGGAGGTAGTAAAAAATGCAACGCTATGATGCTTAGGTGGATACGGTGAAGACCGGTTGAGCAGCTCGGGTAGATTTTATGGACAAAAACAAATGTTTCTATTTGCATTACCAGTTTCACAGCTCCAGGCAATGACACACTCTAGGCCAGGTATGGAGATCGCATTAGCTGAGTTTCAATGGAGTTGAGTGGCGATGAGTGTGGGATGACTGCACCTCCGACTTCATCGAGTCGCTGTCAATCGATACTTGTAAAAATGTCCATTCTTTAATGCTTTCCTTGTATCTATGTTTGTCCTGTCTAAATGCGAGCTTTTATAAGGGTGCTGAAATCTGTAGTTTTTGATAAATGTAGCATTTTATGCAACCTCTGCCAAGGGAGTCATTATTTGTTAACGGAGAAGGAGCAGCCTGTCATTGCACACCATATTTCTTTGTTTCGGCAGAGGACGCATAGAATGACATTTTTGATAAAAAAACGATTGATTCCAAATCCAACTGACAACTCTATAACAACCAGGACAAGCACAGGTACACAGTAAGCGTTAAAGAATGGATATTTATAAAAGTATCAAGTGGTAGTACATGCTTTAAATCGTAACTCCCACCTGGACAAGATGGGAAATAACTATGTGAGAATGCTGTTCATAGACTACAGCTCAGTGTTCAACACCATAGTCCCCTCCAAGCTCGGGACCCTGGGACTGAACACCTCCCTCTGAAACTGGATCCTGGACTTCCTGACGGGCCGGCCCTAGGTGGTGAGGGTAGGCAACAACACCTCCGCCATGCTGACCCTTAACACAGGGGCCCCTCAGGGGTCCGTGCTTAGTCCCCTCTACTCCCTGTTCACCCACGACTGCGTGGACACACACGACTCTCTAACACCATCGTCAAGTTTGCTGAACAACGGTGATGAGACAGCCTACAGGGAGAAGGTCCGAGACTTGGCAGTGTGGTGCCAGGACAGAAACCTCTCCCTCAACGTCAGTAAGACCAAGGAGCTGATTGTGGACTATGGTAGAAAGAGGGGAGAGCACGCCCCCATCCACATCGACGGGGCTGCATCATCCTTTGAATGGCACACATACACAATCCATGTCTCATTTATCTCAAGGCTTAAAAATCCTTCTTTAACCTGTCTCCTCCCCTTCATCTACACTGATTGAAGTGGATTTAACAGGTGGCATCAATAAGGGATCATAGCTTTCACCTGGATTCACCTCGTCAGTTTATGTCATGGAAAGAGCAGGTGTTCCTAATGTTTTGTACACTCAGTAGCTTAATTATTGTGTATTTTATTCCTCTTGCGTTACTATTTATATTATATTTTTAACTCTGCATTGTTGGGAAGTGCTCGAAAGCGACCATTTCAATGTCTTCGCCATTGTACTCGGCGCATGTGACAAATACAATTTTATTTTATTTGAACTTCCTACTCCATTGGAAAACAGTGGATTACGAGACACATTACTAGTTTGACAGACGTCACATGAAATTATACATTTATCAAAAACTACGGTTTTCAGAACCCAAAGAAAAAAGTATATTTACACAGGACAAACATAGGTACAAGGAAAGCATTAACAACAGTGACTCGATGTAGTCGGAGGTGCAGTCTGCCCACACTGGTCTTCACTCAACTCCATTATAGCCTACTTGCAGTGGTGTAAAGTACTTAAGTAAAAATACTTTAAAGTACTACTTAAGTCGTTTTTTTGGGTATCTGTACTTGACTTTGCTATTTATATTTTTGACAATTTTTACTTTTACTTCACTACATTCCTAAAGAAAATTATGTACTTTTTACTGCATATATTTTCCCTGAAACCCAAAAGTACTTGTTACATTTTGAATGCTAAGCAGGACAGAAAATGGTCCAATTCACACACATCAAGAGAACATCCCTGGTCATCCCTAATGCCTCTGATCTGGCAGGCTCACTAAACACAAATGCTTTGTTTGTAAATTATGTCTGAGTGTTGGAGTGTGACCCTGGCTATTTGTTAAATAAATATATATACACTACCAGTCAAAAGTTTGGACACACCTACTCATTCAAGGGTTTTTCTATATTTTTACTATTTTTTACATTGTAGAATAATAGTGAAGACATCAAAACTATGAAATAACACATATGGAATCATGTAGTAACCAAAAAAGTGTTAAACAAATCAAAATATATTTTATATTTGAGATTATTCAAATAGCCACCCCTTGCCTTGATGACAGCTTTGCACACTCTTGGCATTATCTCAACCAGCTTCATGAGGTAATCACCTGGAATGCATTTCAATTAACGGGTGTGCCTTCTTAAAAGTTTATTTGTGGAATTTCTTTCCTTCTTAATGCGTTTGAGCCAATCAGTTGTGTTGTGCCAATCAGTTGTAGGGGGGTATACAAAAGATAGCACTATTTGGTAAAAGACCAAGTCCATATTATGTCAAGAACAGCTCAAATAAGCAAAGAGAAATGACAGTCCATTACTTTAAGACATGAAGGTCAGTCAATACGGAAAATGTCTAGAACTTTGAAAGTTCCTTCAAG